AAATAAGAAAGGAAGAAAAAAGGGCAGAAAATGCTGGTGCACTTGGCTAATTTCCAATCAGAATCACAGGACTAGAAGGGACCACGAGGGTCTTGTAATCTAAGGCTAAAGATGTGGACGTCTACAAAGGTTTGGGGCCAAATTTTGTGCAATCTTTTGGACCCTGAACAGATGTCTAATCCATCACTCCTGAACTGTTTCCCTCTTTTGGGGTCAACGCAGAGCCCATTACAATCAGTGGAAAGACTTGCACTGACTTCAATGGATGATAGGCATGGTCTCTGAGAGTTGGTGGGGTTAGTGGTCTGAACCCATCTGCCCTCACTTTCTTAGTCTCTTGGTATGTGTTCAGTCACCACTGGTTAAGCTATTGCTAGACCTTCCCACCCAAAGCTGATATATCTTCTATTATCTACACCATTATCATGACTGGAGTGTGATTTTAAGAATGTAAAGAATCCTGAAGAGGTCTGAAATGGTCTGTTCCTCTGCCCACTCTTTCGCTGTCATGGGACATTTGAACCATGTTCCTCAAAGAGAACTTCTCTTGCTCTTTGCCACTTAGAAGAACTGGCAATGACTCCCTGACTCAGCACAGCCTGACACTGCTGCAAACAAGCAATTGAGAAGAACGATGTTTCCCAAAGGTGTACGAGCAATGCTAACCTGCCAGAGCAAGAGAAAGCGCAGAGGTAGGCAAGATTCATTGGACACTGCTTCTTTTGATGAGAAAGAAAAGGAGATAAGGTTGCTTTGGACTTTGTTTTGCCATCTCCACTTGCAATTCCCTTTATAAGCTACACTGCTATAAGGTGGTAGAAAAGCACAGAAGAAAAGCCTACCAGTACACATGGCCTGGCCCCAGTGAATCTCTTAAGTCCTTTAAGAGCCTCCTCTCTCTATGGCTAGGAACAGATGTTGCATTTGTCCCTGAACAAGTTGCACCTGTGTTTGTCCTGGAACAGAAACATCCTGGGACTGTTGTGTACACACACTGCCTTTCTGATCGGGGTTTAGTGACCGACTGAATGCACTGACACTTTTCTGCCATTGATTCAATGATGCAAGCCCAGGACAACCATTCAGATGCACTTCCCAGTGTCCCAGGACAAACTGTCAGCACTTCTCATCCCACAAACCTTTTTTAGGGTTTGTTCCAGGACAATACACATGGACATCTGCAGTGTTTGTAGCCTATTATAGGCATGTTCATTTTATGTATCTACCTCTCTACCCTCCTAGTATGTGAGCAGGACTGAGCACCACAGGTCAGACATCCAAACAAGAACTGAATACTGGCAAAATCTCTCTAAACAGAGCAGGGTTTAGAAATCTGGGTACTTCTGGGTTGGTCACCAAAGGGGTGTTTTGAAATTTGGTGGTGCATTCTGGAGTTTGTGGCTATAGCATTTGCAGTGTCTGATCTATGATCAGATTCATTGGCTCACCTTGTTTCTTCATTCACAGCAAGAGAGCAAGTGGTGAGGGGAGTGGCTAGTGAAGGAGCCAGTGGCACAATGTAACTAGATGAGGGCTTCCCTCTTTGGTGCATCCTTTGAGCACCCATGGATTTGTCTTCCCCCACTCTACTTTACTGTTCAGAGGATGAATAGAGGAGGAATCGTCTCCTGCTCTTCTGACTAGGCTGTGGTTTTGGGAACCAGGAATCAGACCCATTAGGAGGAATTCCACTTAAATGTTCCTCCATGGAAATGTTTGCCATTCAAAACTGGAAGTTTTCACATTTAAGTGCTCAAAAAGAGCGCCAAGTTTCAAATGAGAATCTGCTCATTTTTCATACCAACATTGGCTTGTTTTGAACAAAAGCCTTTATGCTCTGAAAATGAGTTTGGACAAGCACTGGAGCAAAGTCACATCCTTTATGTTTCCATGTGCGATAGAATATTTTGTAAAAAAAGATTCCCCTAAAACAAAATCTCCAGGGTGCAAGATGCTTGGCAAAGAAATTGTGATGATATTCTCTTGAGATATCTGCTTCAATGTGTTCAAATTTTTTGCACATCCTTCTGCCATTGCAAAGGTACCAGATTCTGCTGGTAAAAATACTAGGGTAATTCAGGAATGGAAGACAAGTATAGCACACAGCAGGTGTGAGATGCAAGGAAATACAACTACTGCTTGCAAATAAAGCCTGAGGAAGCAGTAGAGGAAATGCAAAGGTTAAAGCAAATCTTGGGTAAGCTGCATTTGATTTTCTCCCCTTTAGTCTCTATATATTGTAGGCAAATCCATCAGGATGTCTTCAGCAGCCCTACGGATAACCATGAAGATTGAACCAGTGGCTGAGAATGATGCCAAAAGCATTGTATTGAAGCTTTACAGGTTCGTGATTGTCCTGAAAATCACACTATTGCCAACAAAGCAACTGTTGGAACCAAGAGAGCAGTGACAGGGATGAGCCCTGGGGCATTTCGTACTCATCCCTCTGCGTGGCAAGCTGTAAGAAATCCAGTCTTGACATCACAAAGCTTTACTTATAATTACCACTGTCCTTTCTCTCACGTTATTTCCCAGAAGAGTGTTGTGGCCAATATCCCACAAGTTAGTGAAGGTAGAGCCGAATGCTTTGTCTCACTGACAAGCTAAGTTTCAGGTGCTCGAGAGAACACTTGAATAGCATATAAACCCTGCATTTTAGGTCCTTGGAGATACTAGCTGCTAAAATCATGCCAGGCCTGTATGTGGGGAGAGGGAAGGAAACCTGAGCTTGATTTCTTATTCATTCAGGTTGCCTTGCTCTGCTCAAGTGTGCAAAGCAGCTCTGAGACCCTTCCAAGGATGAGTTAGGGATTAGCCGCTTCTACCCCTTCCCTCCTTTCCAGCCATGGGGTTCACAGGGAGCTTTACTAAGGAAGGACTGCAGGATTAGACCCTCAAATTACACTGGTCATACAGGAAGGAAGAAAACAAAACCTGAATGTGAATGAATTTCAGTGTCCTAAGAAATATCCCATTCACAGAACAGATCAATGTGGATCATTTGGCCAACACAGAAAGGGAGACTGAAGCAATTATTGGCTCAGTTTCTTTAAGGTGCAACGTCTGGTAAAGCAAACTCTTCAAGGCTTAAACTGTCACTACAGGTTATTCTGTTAGTGAAATAAAGACAGTACCAATATTCCTTTATTGTTAATGTCTTTATGGACAACAGATCTGGCTTTGGAATGGCTCTAAATTCTACTTAAATGATTAAATTTCTTAAAATTACTAACCTAGTTCATTCAGAAAGCTGTACCGTCTCCAGTCTGCAGTTTCTCTGTCAAGGATTTTGTTACTGAGCTGTTCAAAAAGTATGATAATGGGTTAATGCTGAGATAAACAAACGCCCCTCCCAACCCAAGACCTCAACCCAACTGCACCATAAATCAAAAAGGTAGGAAAATATTACTTCTGCCTCATCGATTCAGTTATTTATCTGGCAATAGCTTGACAGCTTTTAGCTAGCACAAGGGAAAATTACAAAGGAAGGTCACTTCACTAAGCAATGAACACAAGCATGCTGGAAAAAGACACGACTTCCTTGGGCAACCGGTAATTATGCATCAAATATTTGTGCGCACAGAGAGACACGCTGGCAGCTTCAACCCAACTGATGAAGACGAATGTATCAAAAAAAAAAAAAAAGCCCATGTGAGCATGCAGACACCAGCTGTTTGGAATAAGGGGGGTTTGCTTATGCATCCATGTATTCAGTTAACAGAGACAGAATGGGTACAAGATTCCTCACAATTCAAGGAAAATAACACGAAGAACAAGGCACAGGCAGATCTGCCAGCAAAATCAGAAAGGAGGCCAGGGCTCCCATGCAGATGCCACTGCTGGAAAGATTCATTTTAGAGCCTGGGTCATGCCAAGCAGCAAGGCTGAGACAGCAGCTGGCTTCTGTGCTGGAGCAGATAGAGACAGTCGGATAGGAAAACAGCCCACGTTGCCAGCAACAGATCGACAGCGTCTGGTGAAGGCCGCTTTTGTATTAAGCACGCTTGTCAATATGTTCTTGAGTTTGCTGTCATTTTGGGAATTTTCCCCCCGAGCTAGACTGAAGCAGTTAGCTAGAAGCCCCGGCTAGCAGGAACAGCAAAGCTGTAACACCCTAAGAGGCGCCCCAGAAAGACTTGGGCTGTTGGAGGCACAGTCTCCCAGGACTGCTCTGGGTGGGCATTCTGCACATAGGCGGTACAAGGGTGGGCTAATTATTACACTGGTGCAAAACACTCCTCAGAAGGGGCAGGATTATGTCCCTGCATTAAGTGAAGTGTAAGCAAGCAGTCTTATGTACCCAGGAGTCCTTCAACTGCAAGCTGCTCCTGCATGGCTCAGAAAAGGAGGGAGCATGTTCTTGTCCAGGACTTGCTCATGGTCTGGTTGGCTTTACTGAGTATCAGCTTGCAGTTCAGAGCAAAGATGGCTATGGAAAATCAGCTCTGTGAAAGGGCCTGTGATTTGCTGTAGTCGCTGGAGCTGGTTCAGGATTTTCCAGCAAAACATGTTTCATCGGAAAATCATGACTTGCTGCAAACAACCCTGTTTACCCCAAAGAGTTGATTGCTTTTTCTGCAGACAGGAAGCGCTGGAATTTTCAGTATTTTCTCATTTCAAAGTTTCCAAAATGAAAAGCTTCCTTTTTCTGGTTTCAAAGTTACTGCCCTGTTTGAACTGCTCTGGGAATTTCTAACATCAAGGGCAAAAATTAAAGGTTGAGATGGAAACAAAATGTTTCAAAATGATCAAAACAGAAGGCTGTTGTTGAAATGATCTAATTTTTCCTCGCAGTTTTTGGCTCACAAAAATTTTCAAGACGTTGACTTTTCAACCCGACTTGGGACAGGTCCTTGGACTAGGAAAAAACTGTGCAATTTTGAATGCTCTTGCAAGATGGCAAACCTGGGTCCTGATCTGCTCGAGTTACTGTGGTCACTGTCTCGCAAACATTGGCATTTCCCATGCTGCAGTATGTGACAACCTGTACTTCTGCCGTTTATTAGAGTTAGAAGGGAAAATGCTCTGGGGAATTTCCAGGTGCAGGTACTGAATGCAACATCCACTTGTATTTCAGTCTTAGGATAAAAGCTACCTGCAGATGCAATCCTCCACGTAGCATCAGCATGAACAGTGCACAGCGTGCTTAAGGCTAATATGTTACACTCAGGTAACGAACATCAAGTGGCACTTTAGCCGGACAATTTGATATTCACTGTTGTCAGACCAAACTTCATGCAGTACCGCACTCATGCTTTCAATGCCTTGAGCATATCAGGTCAGCGATTATGAAGTTCGTTCAACCTGCCACTGGGTTTCAAGTCCAGACATTCAAAATGTCAGAATTTTGAGCTGTTCTGGGTTTGAATCTTGTGTGGCCTGGGTGTGAATCCTACCTGAAAACTGCTGTCTCTGTGATAAGACATGCAAAGCCATCAGATCTAATGGGGCATCTTAAAGAGGGTGAAGGACTCATGAATTTTTGGGCAAATCAGGGCTGAGTTACAAGGTAGGAACAGCACGCAGGGCCAGGAAGATTCTTGGTGGCTGGGCAAACTTACTAGCATTACAAACAGCTCCGTATGGGCCCTCTCCTCTTGCAACATGCGCCTGGGATTTTACAGGTGAGACTTAGGTTTATCCCAGTAACACCTCCTGGGTTGTGGTTGGGACTGTGCATACGATACATTTAAAACAAGGACATGGGAATAAGGAAGTCTTGAGCTGTTTGGAGCTAGTAAGAGTGCCTGTAGAATACACGGTGCCCCACGGAGACATAGTGATGCCGTTCGACAAGCTGCTAAAGGCAAGCAGCTGAGTGCAACCGCTCAGCTAGGCATGGCTGGGGCAGAGAAGCAGGGCAATGGGCTTATTCCATGGAGGGAGGCCAGCTTCACTGCAGGTTCAAGCCTCAGAGAATCTTTGGGCTCCAAGAGGCCAAGGACTGCACAGAGGCAAAAGCTGGGGAGGCCCCATGGGCCCCAGGGTCAGTTTGGGCACATCCTGAAGGCATGAGAAGCAGCTGGTCCCTTCTCTCTACCATCACTCTCTCTGCAGGAGCTCTCTCTCTAACTGTAACAGCAATGAATAGCTACAAAGAGAACCACTGGCTGCATCCTCACTGGCAATGCCTGTGTGACAAGCTGTCTAGCAGTGTGGGGCGGTGACAGACAGTGCAGTAATACGACAAAAATACACGGGTTTGCCTCTGTGGGCAGCAAGACCACTGCATGTGCAGGCTTCTAGCTTCCGGGACCTGGGCCCCAGTGTGCAGGGTGCTGGGTGCCTTGAAGCAGGTGGGCACAGCATGCACAGGACTGGGCACAGCCTTGGCTTGGGTGTGACAGGGCAAATCCAGCCATGTGTGCGTGAGAACAGTGTGGCTCAAGGGACAACACAAAGAGTCTCAAAATGAAGGGAGAAGCCCCGAGGACCTGTCCCCTGCACCGTGAGCCAGAAAAACCAGAGCACACTCTGTCCCCAACATACTGCACACTGGGATGAAAGCAGCTCAGTGGGCTGAGATCAAGCCTGCGGGTCTCATTGGGAACACTTTGCGGTGGGGAGGAGAGGGAAGCAGGGCTCAGTGGGAGCAGGCTTTGCTGTGAATTATTCTTGTAAATGGTTTTATAAGCACATACCCCTTCTCCTTAAAGAAGAAAACACCCACCTTCCTGGGACCTGACCAAAATAGGAGGTGGGGGTGTTACAGATCACCAAGGAAGCCAGAGACTGAGATGAGCCGGGGTCTCAAAGCCAGAGACTTCCCCTTGCGTAGCCACACGAGGGCTGACTTCAGTGGCTCCTCTCTGAAGAGGGATAAGGCTTCTTCCTGTGGAGTCCCGAGGCAGAGCTCCCTGTGCCCCGCAAAAGAGGCATTGTTTCTGTGGCACCCCAACACAGGCAAAGAGTCAGGCCTCTGTCAGCAGACAGATAGCCTCTAGGTCTCTGACTGCTTCCCGGAAACCGCTCGTGGGAGCACACACTACACGTGCAAGCCCATAGCTGCATGTGCAGTGGGGATTGTGTGCAGCTGGGTGCTTGGGTCACCACGCCGTGGTTTGCACACAGTAATGAGGGGCCAGAGGCCAGGCGTGCGAATGACACCTGCTATGTGCAGACACACACTGGAGCAGGGCTGCAGCGGCGGCTCGAGGGACAGTGTCTCTAATGCTGCTAATCTGCCTGCAAGAGATGCACTAGTCCTCTGGCCTGGGGTGCAGGAGGTGAGGCTACACCATCTCAAGGGTCCCTTCTGGGCTAAGGTCTGGGACTCCATCACGGGCTGGCACCAGGGGCGCAGAACTGCTGTTTCTGGTGCTGTATTCCTAGTTCCTCAACTCTCTCTCCCTACCTCTGTCAGTAAAAATGGGGTGTTATCAGCTCATTAGTCAGCTCCATAACCACCTCTCCCCTAATTCCTGCATTCCCCAGGGACAGACCAGAAGCAGAGGCAGAGCTGACTGATTGCCTGGGGCATCTTCAGTTCAACTCACTATGCACAGAGGCCGAGGACTGTACCCCTGCTTCTTGCCCTGGGCTATGTTTGGATTGCTGTAGCAGATGAGACAGGAGCCACTCCTTGGTTTAACTCAGCATTTCCTCCTACTCTCTCTGCATGTCTTTTCATAGCCTCCAATGAGGTGAGCGCTGGCTCATGAAAGCTTATGCAGCTCTGATTCAGTTAGTCTATAAAGTGCATCTCTACCTTGCCGTCTGCCATCAAGGAAAGTCAACACTGGTGGCAGTGATCACATGCTACCTGGAGAGATAGCGTGGTCAAAGCAGACACAGACAGGCAGCACCGAATCCACGAGAAGCGGGCAGCACTGTAACGTATTCACACAGCGAGGAAACGCACATCTTTGGCCATGTGCAGAGGATGTAAATCGGTGCAGCTCCATGGACTCCATGGTTAGTTCACACCATCTGGGCTGATGGCCCCATCCTCATCCATAAGAGTCTGAATTAGTAGCACAAATGCCATTTTTCATTTCAGCTGCACCTTTAGGTTACATCTGTTAAGGTCTTAAGAGTTTCCATTAACAGCTTTATAGTTCCAGGATTATGACAACAGCTCACCAGCCTCAAGACTTGGTAAGAAACGCTCGGGGCCAGAGCTGATTTCTTCTTTTAATGAAATGATTTTGAGCCATTTCTGAGTTTTTAGAAAGCAATAATTATGACTGTGTGATTCCAGCTGTCGCTTTGTGCTGCTTTAATTTGTTAATGTTCTCCAAGATGGAGGATTCTTTTAATCTTTACTGTGGAGAAATTGCTTCTGGCTTTTTTTTCTTTCATAGTGAATTTTGCCGCTGAAAAATCATATAACATAAATTGAACAGCTACGAGTGAAAGCTACAGCACTCCACACTTGGCAAAATCTCCACAGAGATCAATGAGAGCACTGCCTGCACAAAAATGTCACTATATATGCCTCCTTCAAGAGACACCTGGACAGTGATGTCTTGGTCAGTTTGGCAAGCCTTGAATTTTCAGAGAGGCCTGAAGGAGTTAGGTACTTCGTCCGTCTTGCAGTTGTGCCACAGAAGTCAATGAGAGTTTTGCCACAGAGTTCATAGGGATGACAATCGGAGTCTAGCCTATGTCTCGGAGGCCGACAGCTATTCCGTATTTGCAGCCTCCTTCCCTTTCTTTGGTAAGTTGAAGTCAAAGCTACTTTCATGAATTTTTTTGTGGTCAAACTCCTTTTTATGAGCTGGGTGTGAGCCAGCCAGCTTATTTCCAGTGACATTTCTCATTTTATGCGAAGCTCTTGGTGGAATTTAGAACCCACTTTAATGGCTGCAGATCTTCAGGCTTTCAAGATTCAGGACAGGACCCCTAACAGCAATTGATTTTTACAATATCTGTAGCAGGCATCACTAGGGCTCCAGCACCGTGCTGCTCTTCTCCGCCGGTATCTGGGAGGGGTGGGGGGAGAAGGGTTAATCGTTCGGAGAGAACGAGGTGGGAATGCTCTCTCTGATCAGCCCTGCTGTCACACATCTGAAATCTATTTTTCTGACAAATGACTCTAAGACTAGTGAAAACACAGTGAAATGTTTTTGCTCCATGCCCGGCTGACTAGAGAGATGGGGCTGGCTCTGCAGCATGTAGCCACACAGAGTCCTTATGGGAATGTCTCCATGAAACTCAGTGGGGGCTACAGGTTCTCAGCACCTCTGGGAACCTGTGCGCTTGTCCTCTTATGTCAGCGGCTAGAGGACTGAGCTACACAATGGAGATACAGAGTTACATGCTGAACGTCATTCCCTTACGCTGGAAAATTTCAAGTGGGTGCATACCAGCAATGTGCATGCTGCTGCACAAGATACAAGATAAAGGCAATCCCTAGGTGGAGGATACCAGTCTAAGGCCCTGGAGGGACAACACATTTACACCAGTATGATCTACATCAGGTTTGCCCACGATGCATCTTGCACTGGGATCCAGAGTGGACAGACAAGCAGCTATTCCAGGGCACTGTTCACAGTAGGCACTGTTACAAAGTCTTGCCACGAGGTGGCAGGGAAGGTACTAGCCTGTCTGCGCTGGGCAAAGGGCTGTCCCGGGATGGGAGGTGATGGCTGGAACTACACGTACGTAACTCACACGGCTGCCGTTTTACTCCTGCTTTTCCCCTGGGTTACGCCACACCAGACATTACAATGCAAGCACTGACATCACCTGTGTGCTTCCTTGTTTGCATCCCTGCCAAGGCTGGTTACACAGGTACAAACAGGTCATCTGCCCAAGCCATAAGGAACAAGTAAAGAAAGGGAGACATTCTGTCCCCACCAAAATCAATGTTCAAATTCCCACTGATTCCCACCGATTTCATCTGGGCCAGGATTTCACCCAAGGATGCAACAGAGCCTCCCTTGTATGGAAAGAAGAGGGAACAGCAGAGAGCAACAAGCACGATTACAGGCCTGGGAGGCAGGACTTCTGAGGAAAGGCTGAAAGAACCAGGGGTATTTGGTCTGGAGGAGAGATGACTGAGGGGGGATTTGATCATGGTCTTGAAATACCCGAAGGGCGATTACAGAGGGGATGGAGATGGGCTTCTCTCTGTGGCTGAAGGGGACGGGACTAGGAGCAACGGCCTCAAGCTGAAGCAGGGGAAATTGAGGTTGGAGATTAGGAGGAAGATTTGAACAAGGAGGTGGCCAAGCATGGGAACAGGCTGCCTCGAGAAGCCGTGGACTCTCCATCCTTGAAAATGTTCAAGAGCTGGTTAGGTGGACACAGGGCTGGGATGGTTTCATCAGGGATGATCCAACCTTGACCGGAGGACTGGACTAAGTAACCTCATGAGTCCTCCTTTTCTATCATCTCTCTTCTTGACCTCAAGCTTTGACCTCCAGGACTGGACTTACAGTCTTTAGGCCCCAGCAGGCAGCTGTCAAGGCCCTGACAGAAGGAGTCACCTGAACATAAGATGCCTCCTCTCCTGGTTCGAGTGTTTGAAAAGGATGGAGACCCACCATATTTCCTCTCCTTCTAGCCTCAGTGCTGGGAAAGAGGACAGATTTGCCTCATGCTGGAGTCCTGCCATGCCGTGTGCGACTCTCCTACCAGACAGAACTTACTAGTGGCTGTTTACTTTGCCTCTGTGTCGAGCCATCCCCAATGACCCTATTTCCCTAACGAATGCTCCTCGCTGCCTGCAGTGACTGCACCAGCCAGCCTAGGCGGCACCTTCCCCTCCACCGCATCCTGACATGAATGTGACAAAGTGACTTTCTGCAGGAGCTGCACAGAGCAGGCAACCGCGAGGGGAGAGGAGCGGGCTTAGAGCAAGTGAAGGGATGGAGATGGGGAGAGATGCATGGGAAGGGATGCAATGAAAATGCTGAAAGGGAGGGGAAATGACAGCGGGAGGGGAAGCAGAGACCACCTGGAGCACTGCTGCACAATGACATGCTGAGGCCCGAAGCTACGTCCAGTTGAAGATGCCCCAGACGATAAAAATAATCCACAAAATCAGATTTTCAGGAAATTTTAAGATGAATTCTTGTTATTTCTGAACAAATTGATGAACTCAGTATGAATAATAACTGTAGATCCATCTATATGTATATTTTTGTCATATTAGAATGACAGTGTCCGGGGGGGGGGTTCTTTAGAGGCCCCTCATATTGTGAGACCCTAAGCTGTATCTTAAGTAGCGTAATCCTAAATCCGGCACTGACCCTGAGGAGGACAGGGGCTCTCCAATGAGGCTTGCATTGACTCCCCGGGCTCCTTCTGTGCCTCCTCAGTTGGGAAACAAGAGTGCTGGGCCTTGCCAGCCTGCTGTCTCCTGCACCCCGGGGATGGTGATAAATCCAGTGGCCTGTGGTTTAGTCAGTCTCAGCACTGCGGAGAACTCCCCTGCCATTTTCTCCTCCTCTTCCCTCTGGCCCTGGTTCCTCCTGAGCCTGGCTGGCCCGTGAATGAACACAGCCTCCGAGCCAGCTTGTGCAGCGGAGGCAGCACCGGGCAATGCACTGGGAGAGGAAACTTGCTATAGCGGCTGTTAGGGATTTATCCGCTCTTCTGTCTTACTTGGCTGGAGAAGCACAGAGAGAAGCCAAATGCTAGAAGTTGTCCTGGGCCAGACCATGCTGTAGAGCACAAGTGTCAAAGTCAACAGGTCCCAGAGGTCAGATATGGACTGCAGGGTGCCTCGCAGGCTGGAGCCAGACCCACCTCTGGCAGCAGGGCTAGTGGTAGTCGGGCTGAAACACCTGCAGCTGCCTGAGCTGCTGCGTTAATCCCCCCGCTGCTTACTCCGCTGTCAAAATCCCAGTCGATCCAGGATCCCCATGGGCTATGTGACACAGTTCGGAGGGCCAGATCCAGCCCTGGTCATATATTTGACACCCCTGCTGGACAGCATTCTTATGAATAAGTAAGATCATGGGAGACCCAGAAGGAAAGTCAGGCCATCTAAGTGCACTCAAAATAATTAAAAAACCATTGTTTTCCCATTTTAAACCCAAAGGGCAACTTTTCAACTGGCTGGAAGAAGGCCTCCTCTGGGCTGTTCAGGTTGCTGAGCTAGGTACCTGCTTTGGCCTCTTCTGAATCCACGTCAGTGACCGCAGAAGGATTAGGAGGGTAGGATCCCCCCCTGCAGCTCAGCCTGTGGTTGACAATCCCCAGCACTTGCTCTCTCCATTTGGGAAGGAAAAGTGCACAATGAAGGGGAACCACTGGCGTGGGAAAGGATAGTGAACTAAACCCACTGATAAGCCAGTTCCCAGCTTTCCACATCTGCCTTAACTCTTCTCTGACAAATCTCTGGAGCGAACCTTCATGTTACATTTCAATTAAACTTTCTTTTAATATCAATAACTTTGTTAAAAGGAGGATGCAAGGAACCCCTACCCAATCCTTTCAGATAGTATAAAGATTTTTTTTTGTTCTAAAATTGCTCTGGTGACTTTCTGGTTACAAAAACTACATCTGGACTGAAATGACACGGATGGCAGGGGAGCATCATTTTTTAAGCAGATACCCCCCCAAGAAATCAATTTATGATGTTCTGCTAAAAAAGTACAGTGCTTGTTATAGCCCCACATGAAGAGTTATTCTCATTATTGAATGGTATCTCCATCACATGCCAAAGGCTGTGAAGCCCTTACTTACACGGAGTAGTACTCTGTGAATAGTCCCATTGAAGTCAACAGGAACAAGCATTGAACAAGATACCGCACAGCATGAATAGGAGTTACATGATCTATCTCTCTAGAGAGGGGTTGTTAGTGTTTTCCAAAAAAGGAACATCATTTGGAGAAACTGGAGCCAACTGTCCCAGAGTTGCTTGGGTTGAAACTCCAAGTATCCAGCATAGAAGCTATGCAGATACATGTATAGTCTGTATAGGAGAGCAGACCATTTTTTCCATAGTTTAGGCTAACGTATTAGAGTTCTCCACTGCCAGAGTTTTAAGATGAGGCTGGCAGAAACTAGGAGCTGACAGACATTACTTTGGTACATTTCCTTGAACTGATAAGAACATTGCTACAGTGGGGTGTGATCATATCTACCTTACTGGAGCTGTTCCCATCCAGATTATTGGTAAAGAAGCGTGAAGTCACACCACATGACAGAGTATGGTAGCTTGGATTGGAAAAACAGTGTACACTGCCGCTACCTTGAGATACATCTGGGAAGAAAACAAGTCATCACAAAAGACTCTGGAAGCCATAACGGTACTTTGGGTAAAATACCTTAAGAGACCAGATTCCAAAAAAACTGATAAGCATTTTGTTACACTGCATATATCTCCAGAGCAGTTAAACTATCTTGGATTGCCTGAGCCCAGCGTGGAATTTTATCAATTGATAAAATTGAATTTTATCAATTTTGTCTGCGTGGACCAGACAAGAACCACTGCAAATCAGTTATAAAAGTAAAACAGCATTGAGTTTTATCATCTGGAAGATGCTCATTAAAAATAAAAAGTATTTGCTGGTTATCAAATTGCGTTATATTTAGTGGAAAAAATGCAAACCCCAGAGAGTGGTAAATCTATCACAAATTCCTCCTACAGCTGAAAACCAGCTAATGGTCACTTAATGAAAATAATCATATATTTAAGAACGTTTTAATTATAACTTTTTAATACAGGAAGTGCAAGTAACATTAGGTCCGACAAGTATTTGTACCAATGAGGTTAGCACATTTACTACTGCCAGCTGATCAAAGACATAAGAAAGGAAATGCTGTACCACTGAAATGCAAACAGTGATAGCTGTACTGGTCAGTAGAAGGCCCTGCTACATACTGCTTTTGTTAGCTATGAATACACTTATTGTACCAAATAATGTACCAGGGAAAGCATTTATTCTGCATTGCCATTTTAGTTAGCAGCACCAATCCTGACTTTTTTTTGTGTTTAGGTTTGACAAGAAATTGTTAAAATTTGCCTTTGACTAGAAGCAGCAAAGATGAACTGTTAAAAAATGAACCAGCGCATTTAACCAAGCCAGGCTTTGCATACAAGCAAGGGATTAATGCGTTACTGCTGCTCTGCTGACATCTTGTGGAGATCTCGGTTCAGTTAAATAGACTGTAGTGTCACCTCTTGCAATAACTGGTTCCCCCCAGGCTGGGCCAGGATCGAGGTGAGCCTGTAGGACGCAGCATGAAGAAGCTGCCCTTGCAAACACCCCTATGACCAGACAGGCTGATTGATTGCTTCATGCTCCATCCTGGGTTACCAGAGCCCTTTTGGCAAGACTCGCCTAGCGGCCAGCAGAGCTTGACTTCCAGAGGCTGGCTCTACAGTGCAGGAACTCCAACTTCAGCTTTTAGCTCCAGGTACATCAGCAAATTTTGTGCTAATGTCAGAATATTGGGATCCAGGCCTGGAAGGACCGAGGCCAGTGCTCTGCATCCTGGTCACATCTAACACAGCTGGCTTACAGGTCTTTGTACCCAACTCTTTCAGCTGGAGCACGGCTGCATCCCATAGCATCCCAGGGACCAAACTTGTGTTTGGGTGGTCAGGTGCCATGGTGTGAGGGGCAGGATAAATCCCTCCGGACTGTCACGGATATGGAGTAAACATTCAGCACATGCAATTCTGCACAGTGCTGGGGCCACAGAGACGGGATTGCCTGCCAGGACCTCGCCATCTCTTATAACTATAATTATGTGACACTAACAATAGAATAACAGGCAACAGCCACCACTCTGTGACTGTAAATGAGACCTGAGACCAGAACACTAACTGAACAACCATTATGGGCTCATCAGAAATGCAGTAGCTCACTCACAGCCTTGGACCTGCTTTAGAGGGAGAATAAATGTTCGCTAGACTAGCCCAGGTCCTCCATGCTCCTAAAGACAAGGGAGCTTTAGTTTCAACCTCACCAGCCCAGACTGGGTTGGTCCCATGCAGAGCAGTGGTATGCTGTAGGGCAGTGGTACCCAACTTCACTGGCCCCTAAGCTACACCACTAAGCTAGCAGGCAGCACTGTGCTTTGCTCCCTTGTCAAGCTTAGTTCAAACTCTTTCATTTTCTGTGGCTTCAAGCAATGCCAGAGGGACCTGCAGGCAACATGCTGCCTATGAGTCATGGGTTGGGGAACCACGGACCTACAGCTTCACTCAAGTATCTGTCAGTGTTGTGCGGGATCTTAGCTGAATACAAAAAATCAAACCCGTAACCTCCTGGCCGGGAGGTGACTGCTAATCTCCGAGTCGAACTCTGCGTCATCTGTGAAGTCCTTTCTCACATCTGGAGAAGAACAAGCTGTGAAAAACAGCTGGAAGAAAAAGTGACCACGCTGCCCTGTTTCCTGGATGAATGAATCTGACTTGTACACAAACCTGAATCACCAACAACCTTGTAATCTTTCGCTGCATGCAGCCTCATGCACCCAGGATTACTTCCATGCAATTCTGTTTGACTCAGGATGATTTACCCTGATAGCACTGTCCATTTTCATTGTCACAAAGCACTCACAAGCGCTGCTTAAAAACTCCAGTGCCGGAGCACTGCCACCCCAGTTCAAAAACACTCTCTTTACAACTAGACTTGTACTCTACTCTGAGCTGTAAGCAAGGGATTTATATTTAATGATACCATAAGGGGCAAGGCTTAAAATACCAGGAACAAGCAATGATAATAAGCTAGGATGAGTCTGCTGTGGCAGGGCCACACTTGAACCTCAGGGCTCAGTTCTCCAAGTGCAAAACCCTCCTGGCTCAGAACCATGAAGCAATGACATGTGGGCCTGCCAGTGGAGAGGAGGTCCACTAAGGCTTGGATGAGGGCCAGACTTCTCAGCCCACTGCAAGGTCAAATTCCCACTGCCTTCAACTGGACCCTGAATAGGAGTCAGGGATCAGGAGGGAACAGTGAAGACACAAGGATTTGCACACACCTGTCACCTGGTGGGATCAGGACAGTGAATTTGAAATGAGGAAGTGGCAGTGGGGCCTGGGGTCAAGTCACAACAGGAGGAGATCTGTAAGGACTCAAACACCTTAAATACAAACCCGCCCAAACAATGCAGCTGCATGTTGTTTTCTACCTCCTTCCCTGTCACGATCCCATGATGGGCTCTACTACCCCTGGGCACAGGCTCTGCAGAGCAGGTGGAGTCTATATGGCTACAGAGCCCACCTAGGCAGAGCTGACTCTGAGCCGGTCGTGTCCATCACTGTCCTAATTTGACAGTGAGCTCTTCTTGGTGGGAGCCATGTCACTTCTTGTGTCCATGAAGCGCTCTGCTTTCCCTGGGAGTCTTAGTGTGGGATTCATATCTGGGATGAAAACATTCACAAGGCCCTGCACATCCCTTAACCTCACGGGACTCTGTGCTGTCCTTATTCAGGCAAAATGCACACTGGAGTCTATAGCTGATGAAGCTCTGTCCTTCCTGGCCACTGGCAGAACAGCTATGGCTAGTTAAAAGGCTGCTCCATATGTCTGAAAGTGAATTAAGAGAACCCCAGTAGCTCCTGGAACTGGGTAGAAATGTTCATATAATATTCTGGCATCAGTTCACAAGCCAAACTCCAATGTCAGTCTGAAGTCTATGTGACCCGTAGGCAGCACTGGAGTTCTCTCTCATGGTCCACTACAGCATGTGTATGCGCATGTACACACACATACACACTCATAGTCATCTAGTCAGACTACCAGCTGTTATTTCCCAACTGTGCTCCTTGTCTCAGCCTCTCTTCCCCAATTCCCTGCTGAGGAAGCTGTGTGGGCTCTGTCTCCAGGCTTTCTGATCTAAAGACAGAGTGGCTTGTCCTTTGCTGGTCCTTTTCTGCTACCTCTAACAGCACAGTATATCTTTTGACCAGCCCCTGTGGGCAAGGGAAAAGCTCTGTTTTGGTGACTGCTGTAAAAAGTGATGGCTGCTCTAGCTCCACAACAGGTTCCTGAGCAATCCAATTCTATTGTCAGCAGAACTGATCTGAGGAAAAAGATCTGGAAAATGGTCTCAGCTTTCCACCAGAGGATTAGATGTGAGATGGGTCTGGAGTGATCAAATTATCCAGTGTTCCTCTAGGGAAGCTCAGACAATGATACCCAACCCTAATAAGCACTGCTCAAAAAGCCAAGAAGAGGGCATTTCAGCCTTTGTCTAATCCGTCCTGAACAGGGCACTGAAAGGATTTAACATTCTGCCTTTGCACTGGACACAGAAGTCACTAGTTCTTCTGCATGCAGAAAATGGTTAGTCAACACCCTGGAAATTGCTTCTTCTGCACCAGCAGCAGCTTGAGAACTAGCCTGACACCCGGAAGTGACTGGGCTTCTTGGGGTACAATGTGCTCTCGGCTGCAAGTTTGCAGTTCAGAGGAAGGATATGGCTAGGGTTGCCAACCAAAGACTTTTTTTTTTTAACTAACAATCTGCACTTTTTACTGACACCCAAACTTTTTTACTGATATACGTTTTACATAATGCAAATGTAAACCTTCTGCCAGACCCTAGACAAATTTAGGGGTTTAACACCAACCACAGTAAAAATGTTTGGGTGTCAGTAAAAAGTTTGCAGATTAATTAAAGCTTGCAGATTGATATGATTAATTTTTGTTTCTTGGGTTGGCAAGCCTGCTTGGGCAGTGGCTTTATACCCTGCTGTCCCCACCTCAGGGCTTCCTACTCATCCCCACACCCTGATGCCCCAGACAGCACTCCACCCCATGCTGCTCCCCACCATCCCATCCCCTCACTAGTCCTGCCACCCCCTCCAAGTATGGACCCCAAAAGAAGGACTAGTATCTGCCTACCTATAAGGCAACACGTGTTACTACCAGATGGGACACAGCAGCAGCACATGGCTGGTGATGGGGAAGGAAGCTATGGAAGCTCCCGTGAACTACAAAGCTTTCACAAGAACTCTGTGTAAGATGCTGCGGTCCTGCTCAGATACCAGTTGAGGCTACTCTGCTCTGTCTGCCCTTCATTGCTTGCCTCCAGCTTCTTTCTGATAACAGAGCTTTAATCAAGCTCCTAGTTGCTTAGTTTTTTTTTTAAAGGTGGCTCCATTTTTCATGGACTTCACGGACTGGCGTTTTTAACCTTATTTTTGATGAACTGTCCATACATTTATAGACAGTTGGCAACCCTGGATGTGGCATAAATGGAGTCACCAGCTCAGGGAAGGAAAGCTTCCCTGGCTAAACCTGGGCTACCGTAATCTTTCGTTTTAGGAATCTACCTATGTGGCCAGTGAGACTAGTTCTGTTTAAGGATGAGAAAGCATCAAACCCCCAACACTAGCAGGCATTTTGCCTGGATGAAGAATGTCAGATGGGGATGCCATCAGGTGAACTGGGAAGCTCTCCATGAGCAGTAAATCAAAAAGCCAGCCAGCTGGTGTGGTCCATACTCCCCTGACCGGATGGGCAGCTCACCTATCCAGCAATGCAGAACACCAGCAACATTCCTCTCTTTATTTTCTAATTTGCAAATTGTGCCTCTCCCAGACCGTGGGTACCATACACCTTCATTGTAAATCAATGCAGATAAATTAAATTGTGAAAGCCTTGTACAGAAGTTGGTGGCTGGCCAACATGAACTCAATGAATGGCTGGGGCATTCAGAATGTTCCTCTCTGCCTAGAGCACAGCTTCCTAGTGTGGACTTTACACCATATCCTATGAAACCCATCCTTGCACCTATGTGCCACAGTGATCTCTGTCATGACTTAAAGCCAGTTAGAGAGGGGATCTAAGGTGGATTTCCTGTAACTACTAGGTGGAACAGGCAAGAGTTTAGGCTGAGCTGATGAAGGCATAGATAGCTGAAGTGGGGTAGGCCACCACGGGCAAGCATGTCCACAGCAGATGGACCAAGGTCCTAGGGCCATCACAGGACCCAGACCTTGAAGAAACCCAAGCAGTAACAGAGGCTGATGAGCTCATGCTCTCTGTTCTGCAGAGACAGATTTCCTCCAACACATAACCTGTTCAGGAATGGTCAAGAAATGGCAGCCAATTACTCCCAAGGAATTACAGCACCTTCCCTAATCCCTCCCATCTCCCCCTGTAAGGGCCTGGCTTACTCTGGGAGCCAGGTCATCACAGGACACAGCAACAACCTGCTGGGATCCAAGCATCTTCTGACTATAGATAGGGAAGGGAGGCAATGCAGGATTGTTGAAAATGCACACTAGATGAGCCTCTACCAGGTCTGGGAGCCTCTGTTCACCCTAGGACCCAAAGTACCAGCCTGTTATTCATTTACGGGAAAGCAGAACAAGCTCAAACTACAAGGCTAGCATTGATGGGCACAACCCAGCAAAGAAAAGAAAGAAAACCACCTACTATAGAGTATCCTACTCTTCATTAGTTAGGGAAGAAGGGAGAGGGTGAAAAGTCACTAATGCCTAAACAAGCCATCAAGAAGAGTGCCCCCCCCCCCCTTACAGGAGGAGAAGATGGATGTGAGTGGGACCACCTAGCTGCTATTAAACCCCACTTGATAACATCAGAAGACATTGTGTTGGTTATCTGGCCTTATCTATAGTGGTTTTGGAGGATGGTTCCTGAGGGGACAAAGGCAACTCCTAATGGGAGGGAGCTATCTGCAACAGAAGACACAACTGCCAGGTACAATCCAAGGATCACCACACTCCTTGATATTCCCCGACTAAAAACCTGATCCTACTGTCCCTATGTA